CAGGCAATTCTCCTGCCTCAGCCTCCTGAGTAGCTGGGATTACAGGCACGCGCCACCATGCCCAGCTAATTTTTTGTATTTTTAGTAGAGATGAGGTTTCACCATGTTGACCAAGATGATCTCGATCTCTTGACCTCGTGATCCACACGTCTCGGCCTCCCAAAGTGCTGGGATTACAGGCTTGAGCCACCACGCCCGGCCTCATTTTAATTTTCAAATATAAATTGTGACTTAAATTTCTTCATTTCTATGCATTTTTTTATTAAAATGGCTGATAACATAATTTTTGGGGTTTTTTTGTTTGTTTTTTGAGAGAGAATCTCAAAACTCCGCTGGTCTCGAACTTTTGACTTCAGGTGATTCACCCACCTTGACCTCCCAAAGTGTGGGATTACTGTTGTGAGCCACCACACCAGGCCCAAAAACATCAGTTTTAAGAAAATATCTTGGGTCAAGGCCATGACTTTATTATTAACATAATTTGAGACAAAATAGTCATGAAAGTCAACATTGATTAGTAAAACCAATGTATGATCTAGCCCCTGGTAATAATTTTCTCTCCCACCCAACATGAAAGCACCATCATTCTGTAATCTCTTCCAGTTGTAAGAGACTTCTGATTAAATTGATGAGCATAAAATTTTGTAGAATTTAACTTTTGATCTGAAAATTAATTACCAGAAAAGTTGATATTTTGAGATGTATTATGTTATTCTACTTAAACTCTTCAGAAAAGCTAAGCTGCCAAAGCATGCGTTTAACTTTTTCAGTTTTTCAGCCTGCCATGTAAGTTCTAAGCAATTGTAAATAACTACCTTATAAAGATGTCTAATTTAGGCCAGGCACGGTGGCTCACACCTGTAATTCCAGCACTTTGGGAGGCCGAGATGGGCAGATCATGAGATCAGGAGTTTGAGACCAACCTGGCCAACATGGTGAAACCCCGTCTCTACTAAAAATACAAAAATTAACCTGGTGTGGTGGCACATGCCTGTAGCCCCAGCTACTTGGGAGGCAGAGGTTGCAGTAAGCTGAGATTGTGCCATTGCACTCCAGCCTGGGCAACAAGAGTAAGACTCCCGATCAAAAAAAGAAAAAAAAAAAAGCATAATTTATATCTTGTATTTATTTACCTTTACCATAAATACTTAAGCTGTAATTTTCACATTTTATTTTCACTCTGATATCTACAACTATATCTACATAACGCCAGTTCCAGTATTTTAATAAATGGAATATATATATATAGCTTTGTAAAACATATAAGGTTGATACATTTATGTCTGTATAAGATTTGTAGAATTAATTTCCTAAGGCTCAAAATTTATGCTCAAATTGAATGCTATGTAAAATTTCTTACCAGACACACAAAATAAAAATTGAATCATGAATGCATGGCTGATAATCGATATCACAACTTACAAATGTGATTTCCAGTTAAAAAGAGGAAAATAATTGCTTTCCTGGATTTTCAGTGTGTGCTAATCACCATCACCATTACAACAGATCAGTTTAATTACAGATTATCCAGACAGGTAACACACATCTAAATATTAAATTGACACTACCATTAAATATTTAAATCTGCAAAAAGACACTAGAACATATGGTCAATATTACTATGAGCTGCCACAGGATTTTAATAGGTAATGCAAATGACAATCAGCTCTTTATGCCACAAGAGAAAACTGGTACTGGTGAATCTCATACATATCAAGGAAGAATAAAATGCAGAATTCAATGTGTAAAAAAGATTGTTTATACCAGATATATGCATTACAATAATGGGTTTCTGATATGAATATTAAGTGTTCTCTATTAGAGCTTGCAAAATATATGTAATTCTGTTGGTTATGAGTGATTAGCAAAACCCCAACTATTCAAACAGTCATAAAAATTTTTCGGAAAATTATGTATCTTTTAAAAATGTTGGAAGTGAAACTGTTGACCATTGCTGGAGTGCAGTGGCACGATCTGGGCTCACTGCAACCTGCGACTCCAGGGTTCCAGCGATTCTCATGCCTCAGCCTCCTGAGTAGCTGGGCTTACAGGCATGCACCACTACACCAGGCTAATTTTTTTGTGCTTTTAGTGGAAATAGGGTTTCACCATATTGGTCAGACTGGTCTGAAACTCCTGACCTCATGATCTCCCTGCCTTGGCCTCCTACAGTGCTGGGATTACAGGCATGAGTGACCGTGCCCACCCAAATAATGTATCTTTTTAAAAAAAGTTGAAAGTGAAACTTTTGACCACTTAGCCTTAGAATTTCCTTTTAATTGTAGTTAGATGGCAAGAGTTGGCATTTTGGTTGTCAGCCAATTCGAAAGCCAAAGGGGTTATCAGGTATCAAATTTTAAAGCAGATTTTATTTATTTAAAACTTATTTTTTTTGAGACAGTTTCACTCTGTTACCAGGCTGGAGTGCAGTGGCAGGATCTGGGCTCATTGCAACCTCTGCCTCCCCCTCCCAAGTAGCTGGGACTACAGCTGCGCACCATCAAGCCTGGCTAATTTTTGTAATTTTAGTAGAGACGGGGTTTCACCATGGATGGCCAGGATGGTCTGAATCTCTTGCCCTCATCATCCACCTGCTGTGGCCTCCCAGAGTTCGGGGATCACAGGCGTGAGCCAGCACACCCACCCCATTTTAAAGCATCTTAAGCAGCAGAAATGGCCAGACATGGTGGCTCACACCTGTGATCCCAGCACTTTGGGAGGCCAATGGATGGATTACCTGAGGTCAGGAGTTCCAGACCAGCCTGGCCAGCATTGTGGAACCTTATCTTTACTAAAAATAAAATATTGGCCGGGCATGGTGGCACACACCTGTAGTCCCAGCTACTCCGGAGACAGGAGAATTGCTTGAGCCTGGGAAATGGAGGTTGCTGTTAGATCAACTATTTGATCGCACTATTTAGGCAAGATCGCACTATTTCCCACTTGTGCGAAAGAGGGAGACTGTCTCAAAAAAGCGAGATTCTGTGGCTCCGGTCTGTAATCTCAGCACTTTGGGAGGCTGAGTCAGGTGGATCACGAGGACTGGAGTTCGAGACCAGCCTGGCCAAGATGGTGAAACCCTGTCTACTAAAAATACAAAAATTAGGTGTGCACTCAGTAGTGGGCGCCTGTAATCCCAGCTAGTCGGGAGGCAGAGGCAGGAGAATCACTTGAACCCAGGAGATGGAGGAAGCAGTGAGCTGAGATCATGCCACTGCACTCTAGCCTGGGTGCTAAATTT